TAGAATGTTTCTTCCTCCGCATGCTGTTGGTGAATGTGCCTGGTCCTAGGTCTTTCCAGCAATTGAAAATTGTTGACGGCGTCACACATGCCACTTTCCGCAGTGCGTGCCATGCTCTGAATTTATTGGAGAACGACCAGCAGTGGGATATATGCATTAATGATGCCTGCAACAGTGCACATCCAAACCAAATTCGCACATTGTTCGCAATCATATTGACGGCTTGCTTCCCTTCATCTCCCACAGAGTTATGGGAAAGATATCGATCGCATATGGCTGAAGATATATTGCATAGAGTACGCTTAGAAAATGCCAATATGACCATGGAATTTACAGAAGATATTTACAATGAAACATTGATAAATATTGAAGACAAGTGCTTAGCTATTGGCAATAAAGTTCTTAGTCAATTGGGAATGCCATCACCCATCCGAATTGCCACTGTTCCATTTGATGTGGATTCTCGCCGTGAACACAGTTACGACACCGGTGATCTCCAGTCATATATTCAATCAACCATTCCCAAATTAACGCGTGAACAGAAGGACATTTATGATCGCATCATGCATATCATAAATGACGGAGTTGGGGGAATCTTCTTCTTAGATGCGCCAGGAGGAACTGGAAAAACATTCCTTATTAAATTGATTCTGGCAACGGTTCGATCAAAAACTGGCATAGCCTTAGCTCTCGCTTCGTCTGAAATAGCTGCGACATTGTTACCAGGTGGAAGGACTGCTCATTCAGCTTTAAAGTTGCCATTAAACATACAAAACATCGAGACACCTACGTGCAATATTTCCAGAGCATCAGGTATGGGGAAAATATTACAAACATGTAAACTCATTGTTTGGGATGAATGCACGATGGCACATAAAAAATCGCTTGAGGCTTTTGATCGATCGTTGCGAGATTTGCGTGGAAATGTTCAACCATTTGGGAATGCAGTGATATTGCTCGCAGGAGATTTTAGGCAAACATTGCCTGTAATTTCACGATCAACACCAGCAGACGAAATAAATGCTTGCCTGAAATATTCAAGTTTGTGGCAACACGTACGTACATTGCAGTTGACTACGAATATGCGTATCCAGTTGCAGAACGATCAATCAGCCAAGGTATTCTCACGACAGTTACTAGATATTGGAAACGGAAAGCTGCCGGTCGATGAAACGTCAAGACGAATATCATTGCCTGATAATTTTTGTAATTTAGTAACATCGAAAGAAGAATTGGTCGAAAAAGTATTTCCTAATATTCAAATGAATTATAGGAATCATGATTGGCTCAGAGAACGAGCTATCCTTGCTGCGAAGAATAAAGATGTTTATCAACTTAATAATGTTATTCAATTCAGCATTGAAAGTGAGGAAATTACATATAAGTCAATAGACGCTGTTGTGGAGGCAGATGAAGCAGTTAATTATCCAACGGAATTTTTGAACTCACTTGATCTGCCAGGGATGCCACCACACATATTAAAATTGAAAATAGGTGTGCCCATCATCATGCTGCGGAATATTAATCAGCCAAAACTATGCAACGGTACGCGACTCGCAGTTAAGAAATTAATGAACAACGTAGTGGAAGCAACGATTTTAACGGGGCCTTTTAAAGGTGAAGATGTCCTCATTCCTCGAATTCCAATGATCCCGACCGATACACCATTTCAATTTAAAAGACTGCAATTTCCAATACGATTGGCGTTTGCAATCACAATAAATAAAGCTCAAGGGCAATCTTTGGAATTGTGTGGTTTAGATTTAGATGCCGATTGCTTCTCACATGGACAACTGTATGTTGCGTGTTCCCGTGTTGGCAAACCAGATAGCCTCTATATCTACGCAGACAATGGAAAAACAAAAAATATTGTATATCCACAAGTATTGAAAAATTAAACTTATATAAAACAGATATGCTTTGTTTTGTTCCTTATTTCTCATATATGCAACCACAATGTGCCCACAGCGAAGCGTGGCAGGGTACAGCTAGTAATGAAATAAATGTAATCTAGTGTAAATTTTCGTATAAGGTATTGTAACGGAAACGCTCCAGACATGACGTCGCCTTTGGCGCTCTGGAATTTTCTACGCGCGCGATAGTGGGATTTTGTAGGAATATTCGAGAATGTACGCGGATGTTCTGGACTTACATTGCTTGCGTGTATAAATGGTTGCGGACCGAACATCGCGGCAGTTTTACTACGGAACGAGATCGAGCGCGGAAATATAAATTGCGAAGTGTGTGTGATATAAATAATCGATATAAATTGTACGGTTTTTATAGTGTTTTAGTTTTGTTTAATAAATATTGATATAAATCGAACCCGAATTTATAAATCACGTTACAGTATTTTTCGTACTTCCGAGACTAAAGTGACAACTTCACTCCATTATAACAAGTACTGAAGTGTCACTTTTCGTCCCGCCGGGATTAAATTTGGACGAAAATCCCGGAAGGATGAAATTACTAACAAGGCAATTTCAGTAGGTTTCACATTTTGTATGCGGCACTACTTCTTAAACGCATCGAACTGCTGCTCATATAGTTTTTTGGATTTCGATGGTATCAATTCATTACCTAGTCTGACTGCTTTTTATCAATATCAAATACACCTTTGTCACCCACCACCAAAATTATGACACTAGCAATGACAGTTTCCAAATTATTTTTGTTACCATAGCATAGGGATTGTCGTACCAACGCAACGTTCCTATGGTAACTGGTTAATCAGCGATTTTTTGAAAGAACGCGTTCTCTAACTCCATACATATTAAGTGTTTCAGTTTCGGAAGTACGAAAACTATCGTATATACCTTGCGACTGAAGTAGTGGTCTTAATCCCTCAGGTAAATTATGGCCCTCCCTTCGGTCGGGCCATAAACTTTACCTTCGGGATTAAAAGTACTACTTCAGTCCCGCAGTATATAATATACTATTTTTACCGGATAGTTACATCTAGGTATAGTTATGTAGAATGGAATGGAAAAAGCAGAAAAGCACAAGAATATTTTGAGAAATAATCTTTGCGATAGTGTAACAGAGATATGAATTTGTTTATTCGGCGTCTTTGTTGTACGTCGCCCAGAAATCTGAGTAATCACCACGGATGTAATTTGTTTTTGGCACTTCAAGATCATATCATCATCATATATATCATAATCATGTCCTGCAGACTGCAGTGAATGAACTTAATACTGAAGGTATTCTTTACAATACGTATTCATTACGAAAATAAGAAAATAAACGAAGTAGATGTGAGAATTAGACATTTATACAACAAATGAGTATTGTTTAAAAGCCAATAATAGTATATTAAGATACAAGTGTATAATCAAGTCTTTAAAGCACGCGCAACGAGTTTAAGGGCACGACGCAAAGCGGAGTGCCTTTAACTTTGCAAGTGCTTTAAAGACTAATTATACACGTGTATCTTATAGTATTTTTTATTATACCTGCAGTATAATCTAAAAATAGGAAATACAATGAAGCCATATTGACGTTATACTCGAATACATGTCTAATTAAGTGGGCTGGGTGTTCGTCATTTCACGATTGCCATGGAAATGGCACTTGACGTTTGCTCATAAAAATCATCGTCTTTGTGAATTAAACGATTTCCGTTGAAAAAGATAATACACCGCCCATTAAATCTATTGTTGTAAAATCTAAATAAACGTTGGTAGGTGTAAAATCCAACTCCAATAAAGCCTATTATAAAGAATATGAAAAGTTGTTTCCATGGATGAATAGGAAGTTACTTACGAATACAGTCTTAAATGCATCCATAATGCTGGCATATATGAAGGAAATGTCAAAGGTATTTAAATCTTCTATATTTTGGTGCATTCATTCAAAACTTTAAAGCAATGCTGCGATTAAAAAGTGGAACAGATTTGGAAGCATACCCTAAATTACGCGCGTTTGTGAAAGCTTCAACCAAAGGATAGGTACAAAAGCCAAAGAAATGTTCTGCATTTACAGAAAGCGACCTAAGAGGATTTTTTATTTCATCCAGATGACAGTTTCAAAAGTCATACTTGAAGTATCGTTACTTAGCAACTTTAAAGCACGTGTGTTTTAAAGGCCCTTTTTCGCACGCATTTGAGTGTTTAAAACGGAGATTGTGATTCAGGTATAATAAAAACATTTTTATGTCGATAAGCACATTTCATTTTACCATTGAATAAAATTTTTATGCAATGATTCTAGTTATTTCGACTGGTTATATGTAAGATCTTGGTAAACTGGTTCACGCTTTGCCTTTACGTGTATGATGTGTTGCCTATGTTGGCACAGGCTAATATCGATTCACTCATTTTCAGTATGCCCAGTCGAGGAGCTGAATGAGCAAGAATCGATGGAATGATCTACACATTAGTGTAGTTCGAATTTTTTGCAATTGATCAAAAGTAACATTAGGTGTTGAGGTAACGGGCGATGAAAAATGAGTTGCTGTAGTTGCCTTTGGAAGTTGAAGTTAAGTACGATTTCCCATCTAAACAAAAACTCCAAAGGTAACTCTACAGCAACTCATTTTTGATCACATAGTACTTATTGTGGGCAATATATTTGGTCTAGAATATACGTACTTAATTTTTGTTACCATTACCACAGCATATTTTGAGTAAACTCATTTTTCTTCATCTATATATAGGTAACCGCCCGATTCACATTTATGGTATATGAACGTAGTGATGCAAAAAGATACAAGAGAAAAGAATAAACTTTTATTAAAGCTTAAAGCATGCAATTTTAAGTCATTATGAATATTGCAGGTTGTCAAGATTTTGTTATAGTTTTGTAGTTATATATATATATATATATATATATATATATATATATATATTATATATATATATATAATTTATACCCTGCAGGTTATGGAAGTGGGTTGTTATTTTTGGTTACAACCACAGATAGACCAAATACAATAGACTGAACTTTTTTACAGGTGCGAATTTGTGCGTCAATTTATGGACATTATTAGTTAGATTTAGCTCAATCATATGAGGATTTTCTCAAGAAAAAATTCCCGAAGTTTTTTTCTCAACGGTTTTATATGTATTTTGAACCGCTGAATCAGAATTTTCACTTTGCTAACACGCCAGAGGTGAGCTAACTGCGGCAGCCGCAAATAACCGCAAATTATTTGCGGCATTTTTACATTTTCGCCTATAACTCATAAACGGTACGTTTTAAAAGAAAAACTATTCTATACAAAATTGTAGTCCACAAAATTTTATACATTTAACATGTAACAACCAAATCTGTAGGGCCAACCAGACCGCCGCCAGCGGCCGCGCCAAAACGGCTACTTTTCGTGCAAATGCAAAAATAGTGAATAGTGAAAAAAGTCTACATCTAAAATAATTTACACTATTTTATTTCCCCCATCTTTCCTTGTTTTACCAAATAACACTCTACTCCTTCGGAAATTTTTTCCTGGAAACGTCTGTTCTGGAACCCCCGTTATTGTACTAATTATATATATATATATATATATATATATATATATATATATATGCCCGTTTACTTAATAGCGATTAACGTAAATGTCTACCGTTTTATTCTCTACCGCATGGATTAATTAGTATTTCATTGGCTTAGTAATTTGATTACGTTTCTTGTATTTGTCCTTCATTGCCAAAGTGTACTTGTTATAAGAGAAATGTCTGGAAATTTATGTTCGTATCTTAATTGCAAGAAATCTAGTCATAGTGTCGCGGCTGCACTACACACTGCAATCGAGTGTAAACAACTGCCAGAGGAGGCAAAGTACACTGCGGATTTGATAGAAATCATAGATCGATTGTTTGATGCCTTGAATTCCAAATTTGTACACCGCAAGAAGCCTTGGCAACGTCCATTATGCGATAAAAATACTGCAGTGGTACAGGTTCTACAAAATGGATTCGAAATACTGTCCAGTTTACAAAAATCTTCATCCAAAGCCAACTCAAAATGCGCCCACCACACCACCCAGCTTCAGCGGAATGCTTCAAACAATTAAAGCGATTCAAATGCTTCATCATCACATTAAAACAGAAGATCTTCCTTATGTGTTGACAGCAAGATTGAACCAGGACCCGTTGGAAAATGTATAAAGAAAGTATTTCAAACTGCGGTTATAATGTAGATGCAAACTTCTTTGAAAATGAAGTACCTATAAGCACTTAAAAACGCATGTGCAGCATTTTACATTCTCAACGTTATCACTATTTCAGCCCCCGTAATGGTGTAAATCCGCAATGTAAAATTCATAGTACTAAAGAATGTAAGTATATTTTTAGCAAAACATCAGCAAATTCCTCTGGTGTTACGGGTTCATTATCGCGTATCTTTATGAATGGAGTAGGCAATGCAATTGCGCGAGAGAGGTGATTTCGAACGGTTGTCGTTTCCAGACGGAACGTCGTCGGCATATGCTCCCGCGGACTTTTTTATAGAAAATTTAATGCCCTTTAAAAAAGTCCGCATATATTTTCGTCAATCTCCTTCCGTTTCTGAGAGTTTGCAAGAATTGGCCAGAGAACACAATTTTTACAACTCTTAATTATTAATAATTAAAAAATTGTACGATATTACACAGCATACCAACCAAAATAATCATATTTACCAATCAAAATAGTAATATTGAGCACATAATCTGTCAAATGACGGGTTTTCAGTAGTATAAAATTATCCAGTTTTAACATTTCTGACATTAATTCTAATTCAGTGCGTATGCAGGAGATAATTTTATATATATATATATATATATATATATATATATATATATATATAATATTGGAGACAAAACGCAAGGATAATAGATGAGATAAGCAGTAGTTACATATTTTATTGATTTGGTTCTGAATTCAAGAACTTGCTTCTCCCATACGAATATATATATATATATATATATATATATATATATATATATATATATATCGGGTTGTGCCTATAGCGACGCAGCATAGGGATTTCAATGGTAATTTCTTTATAGCCAATCTGTTCATACGATTACTTATAATTTTCAGTTTTTCAAAACCGTAGAATTCCACAAAATAAAAAATTACATTTTTATAAATCAGTGATGCCTTGGAATCTTTTAACAAACTACAAGCGCATCGCATCTAAGTTATGGTTGTTTTGACGTCGAACGATTTTCATATTTAATTCTATTTCAACTAACCGACGCAAGAAAAAGCTTTTATGGGGTAATGTTTTTTTAGAGAATGAAATGCTGCATCTGCACCAGATACTATTTGTTTATCATATTCCGGAATTAGAGTATATAATAGAAGAAAAAGAAATTGATTTGAGGAAGAATTGTTCTTGAACTCATATTCGGATTTTCCGCTACCGCAGCCAAAACGTTGAATGTATTTTCGTATCCTGATGGTTTTGACGGACATTTTTAACGTTATTGCACTTGCAGTGATTTAACACTGTTCTGTTCCTGTTCTTTGAAACTTGCGCACAATTCTGACTACTGTGGTATTACTTGGAATCCGTCGATTTGGGTACTTCACACTAAATAAAGACGTTACTTGGCGGGTATAAAACAACTTTAACATTTCCTCTTTCTCTTCAGTTAAATAAACAATTTAATGATTAACTAATTTATAAACAAGTATAAATTTCGAAATAAATTTAATATAGGTACGTCAAAGGCAAATAATGTCGCTGTTTTTTAGATAATTCCAAGGCATTGTTATTGTAAAATGTACCTTTTTATTTTGTCGATTTCTACGGTTTTGAAAAACGGAAAATTATGAGTAATAGTATGACCAGATGCAGTATTTTTTTCTCTGAACAAATGTGTTTAGACTTTTGCTATATATATAGCAACATATCAATCTGACGGCCATACATAGAAATTTTACCATCATTGGGACGGCCGGATGCATGTGACGGCCATATATGGCCGTCGAACTGCATCTCTGTTAAAAATGTCGAGAAGCATGATAGGTTGCCTAAGAGGTAAAGAAACGTCGGTCGTCAAATGACGCGTTTGTGAGGCATAGTATAGTGTAGTTGCGCGGTCGAAATAAGTGGCGCTGTTCAATTTGTGTATATTAAGTATACTTTCGTTCCCATTTCACCGATTACATGACGGCCGCCGCTTGGCAACGTAGCGGAAGGTTGTTTGCCGTGGTTTATTTGAGAAGTGGAGCTATTTCATTCTCACAAGTGCTTTTCTTGTGCTTGCAAGTGAACATGAAACGCTTTACATTTCCTGAGCATTTCGTTATGTATTTTTAATGTGTTTGTTAACAATACCGCGTTGTTTGGGTTATGCTGGCTCGAACTAATTTGCAATACTTTTTAATGGTCGTATTTAACAAACATTTTTTGCAGTCAGTAATGATTTTTGTTCATAGAATGTTGTACTTCTTTATATCAATTTTTGCAAGAATTTAAAAATAAGTATCTTTAAGATGGCTTTTACATTTTAAATTGTAACATGGCATATTACGTATTACAGTACGCACTTCCACCAAGAAGTTCAGAAAAGAGAACACTGCGTTGGTTCTGTAACAGGCCGCTCTCTCCAGCAGCTGCTGAGGTGGCACCTGTTCAAGATGGCACAATAAACTCTTCGAATTCAGACATTGAAAACGGAGGCCGCGAATCAATTCCAGATCATCTCGATGGCGATATTGATGAAACGGTACTTTTAATATTTAGTGCTATTCATATAGGCCAGTAAATCTACTTCGGAACCCAGCAATTTTGGGTACATTTTTTCTTTTGTCCCTCAATCGAAAGGGTCACAAAAGAGAAGCTTAACCCTGAATGTGCGCACTCTCAAAGTTCACCATTTTTTCGCCATTTTGAATCAGATTTTGGCGCATTTTTGCAAATTTATTTGTAAAAAGGTAACTTTTAATCTCACTTTGTCCCAAAAATACAGTGTGTCCGTAAAGTATGGAATAAATTCGATATTTCCAAAACCAAAGGTCTTTTCACAAAAACCTGAAACACGTCGATTTTTAATTTTAATATTCTACGTTTTACAACAAAATTTCATCATACAGGGTGATCCATATTAATGTGATGACGCTTTCGGTAATTTTTTTAAATACAACACCCTGTGTTTGGTGTCAGTTTTAGATAATTCGTAACGAGGTGATTCCGAAAAGGTATGATACTTGGGGTCTAACGGACAGAATTTGAAAGATATTTCTCAAGAAACCATAAACAAGGTTCAACAAGAATTTATTCAACGTTTAGGTTACTGTCAAATACAGCAAGGACTACAGTTCCAACATTTAAAATAAAGCCATGTATTTACTACTGGATTACTTTCCCATTGTTAAATTAATCATTAGAAAAAAATATAAAATAATTAATTAATTTCTACTTTTATTAGATATCAATAAAACTTATTTTCTAAGCGCACATCTTTCAAATTCTGCCCGTTAGACCCAAGTATCATACCTTTTCGGAATCACCTCGTTACGAATTATCAAAAACTGACACCAAATACAGGGTGTTGCGTTTAAAAAAATTACCGATGACGTTATCACATTAATATGGATCACCCTGTATGATGAAATTTTGTTGTAAAATGTAGATTAAAATTAAAAATCGACGTGTTTCAGGTTTTTGTGTAAAGACCTTTGGTTTTGGAAATATCGAATTTATTCCATACTTTACGGACACACTGTAGAATACTATTTCGAGGCGTTTTTTTTCGAAATCCACCAAAATAGCGCATTTCTATGGCTCTGGGAGTGTCAGAAGAGGTTACCGACAATGGGAATGTGGTAGTCTCCGACAAGATCTTACTGATGGTGGGGTCAAAGCTCCCAACACAAATTGCGGGATAACGGGACGTCGGAAATGGGTACCGACAAAGGGAATGTGGTAGCTTCCGACAAGATCTTATCGTTGGTGGGGTCAAAACTTCAAATGCGAATTGCGGGATAATGGGACGTTGGAACTGGGTACCGACAAAGGGAATGTGGTGGCTTCCGACAATACTTATTGGTGGTGGGGTCAAAACTTCACACGCACGAATTGAAGGGTAACGGGACGTCGGAAGTGGGTACCGATAAAGCGAATGTGGTAACTTCCGACAAAATTGTACTGTAGGTTGGGTCAAAACTTCACACCCAAAATTCCTGGGTTACCCATGTCAAATTTCCTAGATTTACTGGAGTCATATTGCAATTTTGCAATAACGTACTGGAAGATTGGTTTTGAATTAGTACATGTGATGTTTGTTAAGAAGCTACAATATAATTATACTTACGTGTATTAAAGAAGCGCCGTTTTAAATTTTGGACATTTGCATATCTGCTTTAATTTTTAGGATCTACCTACCTAACGTAAATGGTGAAAATAGCGCATAACATACTAATTATAAAGACATGTAAATAGAAGTAGATGGGTGAAAAGGATTAAGTCTTTCAGAGAGTAGTCTATGTTTATCAAATCCTTTAACATAGATACATTGTTTAATTCTAACAAATTCAAATTCTGAACAATACATTCATAGATGTAGAGAGAGAATGCCTATGCATGGTTTAATATTACCGCCTCGCTCTAAAATTCAGATTCTCTTGGGTTTTAGCTTAAACAAAGTTAGTTGTCACATAAAAGGTTAGACTTTTACGTCATATAGCACCTACTACCTGAAATAGAAATGGGCATTTTTAAATTAAAAAATAATAAAATAATACATTACCTTGTGAACTCATTAAATTGATAGATGATGAACACCTGAAATAGAAATGGGCATTTTTAAAAAAAAATAATAAAATAATACATTACCTTGTGAACTCATTAAATTGATAGATGATGAACACCTGAATAGAAATGGGCAGTTTTACATTAAAGAAAGAATAAAATAATACATTCCCTTGTGAACTTGTTACACCATACATTGCTTGTTTGTCGCGATTAACACCTCGCCCACGACCCCTGTACCTTACCACTTTTTTTTAACATCAAATGTACTAATTATGATTTTGTATTGTTGAGTATTTAAGACGATATGCTAGTGCATATACTTTAATTACAGATTCCCGAATTTGACGCATCTGATAAAGACGATGATGACGACTATGTACCTAATAGTTGCTCCGACACGGTAACATGTTCATAAATTTCATAAACTGAGATAACTATAAGCTTTACAATTTAACAGAGTTCGGAGGATTCAGATGTGGAAATGGATTTAGAACTCGAAGATCTACATGACAAACAATCTTACCATATTCCCTCTGCTAAAACTACTTGTACATCTGTAAGTTATTCATTTAAAGTTGGACCAATCAATAAATTATGATTTATTTTAGACCTCAATTTGTAACCAAGCCGAAGAAAATCGGACCATTTCACCTGAAATAAGTTCTTCTCAAACAATTACCGCAGTTTTGCCCGTAGAGGAAACCGGTAACGATCTTTTATATGGAAAAAGAAATAGGCAGAAGGACTTTTGCTTTTTCTGCGACACCTTGGTACAGTGTTTTGCTAGGCATATTATCCGAAACCATGCAACAGAAACTGAAGTACAAAAAATCTTGTCATATCCTCCAAGAAGCACCACAAGAAAACAATTAATTACGATGATACGTAAAAAGGGAAACTATTTAAATTCTAATACACTACAAAAACCAGTTAGGAAAGGTACCCTTGACCAACCTCTCTTGCCGTGCTCACATTGTTGTGGTTTATACTCAAAAAAACAATTATGGAGGCACGCTAAGCAACGTAATCCCAATCAACCGTCTAGAAACACAAACCTTTATGCTGAACCATTTAAAGGTTGACTTAAATTTGAAAAATAGGGTTTTTCCAAAAATGAGACCAGATGAAATTTCACTGATAGCAAAAAAAGATGTTTTGATTTGCGCGTTTGGAGCTAGATATTTAAAAATACATAAAGAAGAGCACTTTGTGAACGTTACTTCTCGCAAAATGCGGGAGTTGGCGAGGCTTGTACTTCATATTAAAAAAATGCATCCTCATTTGACAGACCTGACTAAAATTTTGATATTTTAATAGATGCAACTAAGGCAGTTGCAAGATTTGACATGGACCATGAAACGTTCAAGTCCCCAACATATGCTTTGAATATTGCAACTTCCATTAAACAATGTTGTGACATCGCCATAATGGAAAACCTAAAAAGAAAAAACGTCGATATAAGCGTGTCAACTGCTGATATTGAAGCTGATCTGAAAACACTGATCCACTTAATAAATGCGAATTGGAAATTTGAAATCTCTAATCAAGCCGGAAGCGATTTAAACGTAAATAAGTGGAATAAGGTTTCCATTATTCCCTTGGCTCAAGACCTAAAATTACTGAAAGAATATTTGATAAAAATTGGAAATCGAGCAATGTTAAACATTCAATCGTCGGGAA